ATTGGCTGCTACCTCAATTGGAATCCTGAGGATCCCACGGAAGGGGCAACAACATTAGGCGTCAATCACCCTATAATCAAAACCTATATCCAGCGTAGTCTATACATCATGCTGGTCACTATTTTTCAATCAGACTCAAAATGTTAGAAAGTCTGCTCAAGTTAACCGTGATTTCTCTTGCTTTTCCTTCATTTTCTCTTTTCCACCTGACAACGTTCATCTCTTCAAAAACTATTTGAAGCATTTGGACGCAACATCAACAATAAGTGCCTCATAAGTGTATCTGACCCTCATGCTAGGTGCACTGGCTATGAGGTGCGTTCCCAGGTAGTGGATAGGGGAAAGTCCTGGGCAGGGAGATCTGGGATTGCATCGAATAATACAAAATAAGATGCCGCGAACCAACAGTACCAGAAGAAAGAAGACAACGGTGAAAGAGGCGGAAGATCCTAGGACAACGGCTCCAACAGCGGATGATCTTCTATTCTAAATCCACTGCCTTGTAGAACAGGGACCTTTGACCACTCGTGCCCAACAGTGCTCTCTTGAGCACGAAATAAACTGCAACCGCGCTGCCTTGTGTGCTTCCAGCAAAAAGGCTAGGCCTACTGCTAGCGGTTGTCATTAGGAATTGGGCAGTTCCAAATAAAAAAATTTTTTGACCCACACATATTCCATGTTATCACAAAAAAAGAAAAAATACCCTATTCCCAGAAAGACTTTAAATGGTCAAGAGGTGAGAATATCCAAAAAGCACGTAACAGTGTAGGGATGTTGCGGAAAATCGGGCGTTCCCTCCTGGAATATCAGACTTGGCACTTTAAATACTGGATCGCTTACTGGACGCTCCATGGAGATCGTCGACATGCTGGAAAGGCGAAGGGTTTATATCTGTTTTTTGCAGGAAACAAGATGGAAATCAAATGATGTCTCTTTCATTGGGAGTTACAAGTTGTTCTGGAATGGCCAAAAGACAGCCAAAAATGGAGTGGGAATCTTCATATAGGAATCACTAGCACAAAATGTACTGGAGGTGTCTCGAATCAGTTCACGCCTAATGCTGATTAAACTCAGAATGGGAAAACAGGTTCTGAATATTTTTTCACAGACCGGTGAATCTGAAGATGTCAAAAGTGACTTCTGGAACACACTCTCAGATGCCGTCAGAAAAACACCACCATCATCATTGATGTGGCGACCTCAACGGCCATGTTGGAGATAAAGCAAATGGGTTCCACGGTGTCCATGGAGGCTATTGCTTCGGATCTCAAAACGAAGACGGTGTACGGATTCTGGAACTTGCTGAAAGCCATGAACTCTCCCTGTTGAACACTTACTTCAAGAAGAGGCAGAATATTTGATCACATATGAAAGCGGGATGTCATGCACACAAATTGACTTTATTATTTAACAACACAGACGACTATTCAGGATAACCAAAGTCAGTCCATGCGAAGCCCCCTGCTCTTCATCACGGTGATGGAAGAAATAATCAAACCGATACGGTCAGATAACATATGGAATGTGATATATGAAGATTATATCGACCTGTCGGCGGCCTCGGAACATGACGCAGCTAGAAGTTTGAGGTCTGGAATACCCAGCTCGCCGAACACGGGCTAAAGGTAAACCCTGACAAAACAAAAATTATGATCACCGGTGGTACCGCGGTGTGTGGGGCTGAAGCTAGAAGCAACTCGATCAAATGCCTACGATGTCTCAGCAGTGGTGTCACAAGTGATGCTCGAGAATTACCGGCTCACTGAGAAATGTGACTGATTTCGTATGCCCCCCCCCCCTGCATCAGCCCGCCACAACGGAGCCCAAATAATAATACTATTACCGGGATCAAAACTGTTACTTCATTTCAGTATTTTGGAAATGTGCTGGATTGTACTGGAACAGCTAATGCCACCGTTCGTGGACGCATACGTGCGGCGTGGGGCAGATGGTACCTTCTTGCCTCGGTACTGATGCGGGTTAGCATTCCTCTACCGCTCCGCTCAGAGCTATACAACACAGCTATACGTTCTGTTCTGATGTATGGTGCAAAGACGTGGCCGGTGCCAATAAAACTCGAACAGCAGCTTCACCGAACTGACATGAAGATGATTCGTTGGATGCAGCATGTTGACCTAAGAGACCATATCCGAACAACCGAGATCCTGAACCGATCAGGACTGTGCACGTTAAATGATGCATGTCGTCGTCATCGCCTAAGATGGTTTGGCCATGTGAAGCGAAGCGAAAACGATACAATAATTTCCGTTACTGAGCACCAGTTGCCTGGCACCCGCTCAAGAAGTCGCCCAAAAAAGTTCTGGACGCCGACCATACAGGAGGACTTGAAGACACTTGGTCTCAAGGAGACAGACGCAATGGATGAATAGATCGGCTTGGAGACAGAAACTGATGAAATGAATAAAAAAATCCGACCCATAACGGATGGAGACTATAAACGAGGATTGATTAACACTAAGCATAGGGCACGGTATTGAATGACATATTATTACTCATTATCAATACCAATACCGAATAAATAAAAATTATTACTTTTACTGTACTTTCAAGTTTGTTCACATCGTGAGCAAATTTTTCATACCTTTTCCACTTATTTTCATATTCCATATTTATTCTATGGATGCAAATCACCTAAATTAAAAAAATTATTATTGATAAAGAAAGTAATTCAAAAACAAAAATGTCGAATATATTTCAAACGTTTAAAATACCATTTAAATTTTTTCAGGAACCATAGTTCAAATATATTTCACAACACTCGTACCTTTTATAAACCAATATTATTGTTTCTATAATTCTTAAAATCTCAGATTCGTCGAAACTCAAAAGTTTGTTTTTTTTTAGAAAAATAATGCATTAAATTATTTTCAAGTTTATGTCTGTTCAAGTTCATCATTGTTCAACAATTTTATGATCTAAAACGCTCAACTTTTATTGAAAATTATTCCTTGAACGTCAACAAATCAAGATTTTATTATAAAAAAAATAAAATAGTATATTGAATTTGAATGTAAAATGATTTTTAAGACATTGTGACAAATTATTAATATTGATAATAATTATTAATACAAAAATTATATTATAAAAAATTTAGTTTAAACAGTAGTTTGAATAAATGTCCTGGGTATGACATAAAACTGCATCCACGCTGCCTTGCGTGCTTTTGAGTGAAAGGCTAGGCCCACCGCTTATAACTGGTGGTTGTCGTCAGGATGGGTGTCCGGATGTAAAAAATTTCCCCAAATTATTCCTATGCTATCACAAAGAAAAACAACGGCCCCTAGTCCCCAGCAGGCCTTAAGTGGTCAAGGGGTGCCAAGAATCTCTAGGAAGTATGCAATAGCGGAGGGATGTTGCAGAAAAATTCAGAATGGCCCCTCTATGGTACTTAGATTTGGAACGCTCAATGTTGGATCAAGCAATGGCAAAAATCAAAGTCTGTAGATGACCATAAAATTTTCCGTGAGAAGAACAACTATGCAAGACGTCAAGTTGCACTGGCACGAACAGATCAGTGCAGAGAGTGGCTCACTAAAAGCAAAGGTGAACAAATGAAATCTCTGTATCGTATAGCAAAACAAGCAAAGCGTACGAAACAAGACATAGTTGGTGCCTCATGTATCAAAAACGACAAAAATGAGATGGTTCTTGAACAAGATGAGATCAAGCTACAGTGGAGAGAATAGTTCAATCGTCTGTTAAACGAAACAAATCCCATCAATGTTAACTTTGACGCTCCACCCATCGAAGGTCCGATTCCAGACATCACTGTAAAGGAGCTTACAGAAGCTCTGAAAGCTATGAAAGTTGGAAAGGCAGACATCCCACTACCACTATGATCAAGACTTTATAAATCTGTGATACGTCCGGTCTTGTTATATGGTGCAGAAACATGGCCAATGACAACCAAACTGGAACAACAACTTCAACGAACCGACATGAAAATGCTCCGATGGATGCAACGAATTAGTCTGAAGGACCACATCAAATCTACCGAAATCCTGCGTCCTGCCGGTTTAGATGATATAAAGGACAAATGCCGGCAACACCGTCTGCGGTGGTTTGGTCATGTCAAACAAAATGGAAACAGTGCCATAACTTCTCTTGCAGATGTTGAAGTACCTGGCACACGTCCCAAAGGCCGTCCAAAGAAGTCCTGGTCGCAAACAATCGAGCAAGACATGAAAGCTCTAAATTTAAATGAAATGGATACAACTGATCGTCTAATTTGGCTGTAATTGCAGCGTTTATCAAAACGGTTATGTATGTAATCCAATCTGTACTGGCTCGCGATTGGTGGTCTAACTGTGTTGCTACAATCTTTTGAAATTTTTCTCGATGAATATTGCTTTTCAGCTTCCACGTTTTGATTCTCCGAGCTATTTGTTTAGACTAATGTTTTGACAGTTCGACAACCAGGACTGCCACAAAGAGTCTATGCTGGGCGACACATGATTCGCCAGGTATAACTTTGACATTTTTGAATAGCCTTCGGTGTTGTTGCTTGACAGCGAAGAAATCAATTTGCGTGGCTGATGGTCCACTTTTGTATGTTATGAGATGGTCCAACCTCTTTCTTATATATGTGTTCAGTAAACAAAACCCGTGACTTTCAGCAAACTCAAGGATGCGGTTGCCATCTTTTTCATTCCGTTCTCCATAGCCAAAACCGCCATGTACGTTGTCAAAACCATCTGTTTTCTCTCATTGAAATCGCCTCCAATCAGAATTGTTTTAGATTTTGGTATTGTTGAGGTGGTGTCAGAGAATGCAGCCCAGAAGTCATTTTTCGTCTCTTTTGATTCGTCTGTCTGTGGTGCGTATGCAGAAAAAATAATCTTTGTTTGCTTTTCTATGCGAAGCTTGATCCACAAAAGACGTGAATTAATCCTTTTAATATCCAGTACTTCTTGGGCTAGCGGTTCTCTGACAAAAATTCCAACACCATTTTTGGCTTTCTTTTACCATTCCAGAATATTTTATATTTTTCCTTTGTCTGAGTTGACATGACAGACACCATTCGATTTCCATCGGATTTCCTGAAGGCAGCAGATGTCAATCCTTTTACGCTCGAGCATTTCTGCGTTTTTCATGCTGGGGCCAGTCAGTGATGCAACATTGAGCGTTCCAAGTACCATAGAAGGGCCATTCTGAATTTTTCTGCAGCATCCCTCCACTATTGCATACTTCCCAGGGATTCTTGGCACCCCTTGACCACTTAAGGCCTGCTGGAGAGCCGTTGGCGAGCCGTTGTTTTTCTTTGTGATGGCATAGGAATAATTTGGGAAAAAATTTTTACATCCGGACACCCATCCTGACGACAATCCCCAGTTATAAGCGGTGGGCCTAGCCTTTTGCTCAAAAGCACGCAAGACAGCGTGGATGCAGTTTTATGTCATACCCAGGACCATAATAGTTTATATTTTTTTTTGTCTGATGTGAAATGACAAACACGAAAGATGATTTCATTATAGTTGTTAAAATAAAAAACATCTGAATGATAATTTGCACATCAAGGAAAATAATGCATCATCAAAAGCGTTCATTTGATAACGTCTACAAAATAATTTTAAGATATCAAAAACAAATTAGGAAAAAAGACAGAAACTTGTAAAATTGGCATTGCCAAAAAATTTGATGTATCCGACATCATTGATCACTTGAATATTATCAATATCAAGACATTATGTTTTCATCTACTTCGTAAAAGAATAACAATATAAAAAATGAAATAAAAACTGACAAATTATTAATTCAGTATCAGAGTCGGACATTTTTGCCGGATATTTTTCATCAGACTCTAAATCCGGAAATTAATATGAATTAGAAAAAAGTTTTAATTTGAAAACGTTTTTCAGAATCGTGTTTTTTTTAATGTGTAGAATCATATTTAATACTAAAATTAAATGCTAACAACATGAATAAAATTACATAATTTTCTTTCAGTATGTTTTGATACAAGTATAAATAATTACATTGAAAATTTTTTAAGTGTTTTTTAAAGTATTTTTTTTATTTAATAGTGATATTTAACTAAAATTATGATACAAAAGTTTAAAATTTTTTCTGGAAGTCGGAACCCGGAATTGGGAGTCGGATATTTTGCATCCGATTCCAACACCATTGTAAACTTTATTTCATCTTTGTGTCAACTGCAAATTTTTCAATTTGATCACAAATGAAGCTTCCCAATCAGAGTTTGTCTGAAAATTTGAAAGCAACAATCCAAGTGACGTCAAGCCATTAATTACCTTACTTGAAAAGGATAAAAGATGGTGCAAAAGTTTATCAAATTATTAAACTTTTGTAAATTTTTGTAAGGTGCTTTTGAGAAATTGATATAAAAATAGTTATACTCATGATAGTAATAACAATAATATTATTATTAAACTAACTTTCTCATCATTCAAGATGTATAGCTCACAATCAATTTTGTGTTTCAAAGCTGTAAACTAAACAAATAACAATCATAACAGTTATTCTTTATATTTAAAAATACAATAAGTAACAACTTCAGAGGCTAGCTGATGAAAAAGAGACATAACTTCTGAAGGATGAACAGCAATAGGAACAATCAGAATTTCTCAATATAACTTCTGAAGGATGAACAGCAATAAAAACAATCAGAATTTCTCAATAGTAGTTACCTATAATATGTAAAATTATTAAAATAATTTAAAAGTTTTTTACATGATCTCCTCAGAGGTATAAACAACAAATAAGTAAGTGTATGTAAATAAGTTAACTAATGCACACTGCGTACAATAGATGGGGATCTCTTTAAACTTGAAACCAGTCAGTGCGACATTATTGCTAGGCACCTTAACCATTGCATCATCATGCCCATATAACATCATAAAAAATTATTATCGATTTATTAATTTAAAGCAGTGTTGACGAGTACTCAAGTACATTGGTACTTAAGTACGTACTTAAGTATTAAAATGGTACTTATATACTTGTACTTGTATGTGAAAAAATTATACTTACGTACTTGTACTTAAGTACTTTTTTCAGTACTTATACTAATACATTTTTCTTATAAGTACTGACTAAAATAATTGTTGAGTTTAATCAGAATCTTAGATATCGCTCAGAACCATTTTAATTTTTAATTTCCAAGCTATCATTTTTTTCATCTATGCTCATTAGTTTCCGTTTTTCGTTTACATTCTGAATTCTGATAAAGATGGAGCGTGATGAAGAAAACTCGAGGATTTTGTCTTTAGTAGTTGGGAATTATTTTTTCGAAATTGTTGAAGATGATGGTTACGTTAATGTTGCAGCTTGTAGATCGTGCAAGCCAGAAACAACTTATTCGTGGACAGCATAAACGCCATCTAATTTTAACAAACACGTGAAGGTATGTTGTTAAAGTTAATCTAATTCATATTTTAAATTTTAATGATATCGACTAATCGCTATAATTTTATTAATGTTATTTTTGAGTGAAATCTATAATACCTTTTGTTTTTTTTTATTTTTATGTACAGAATATTCATGGAGAAAAATATCTCAAAATGATGCATGAAAATAAAAATAAATTGAAGACTGTGAAGCGAGGTGCACATGAAAATTGCCCAGTCTCAACTCCACCTACATAACAGTCAAAATTTGATTTTTCATCTGTATCACATGGAAAGTTAAATGACTTAATTGCCAATTTTGTTATTCTCGACATGCAGCCACTTGCTGTTGTAGAAGGAGAAGGCTTTAGAATTAAACTTAATCATGTGTTTCTTTGTTGGAAGAATATTGGTATTATTTAGTTGAATATTTATTGTTGGTTTACGTTTATCGATGAAAATTGATTTCGCTATCTTCACATGTAAAATTGGTGAGTGCGAGCATCAAAATTCTGAATACATCGGAATGACTACAACAACATTAACGAGAAGACTCACTATGCATAAGCAACATGGATCAATAAAAAAACCACCTAATAGAATTCATTTGATTTATTTATTCACTTGTAAAATTGGTGAGTGCGAGCATCAAAATTCTGAATACATCGGAATGACCACAACAACATTAACGAGAAGACTCACTATGCATAAGCAACATGGAACAATGAAAGACCACCTAATGGAACAACACAACACTATTATACAACAACAATAACACACGTTTAGACGGCATTTTCCCCGAGATCGGGGGTTGCCGTTTGGCTACCTATGATGAAACCGAAATACCCCTCGACGCCATCCACATCATTCACCTCATCCTCATCCATATCCATCCTCATCCATCCTCATCCATATCACTCGCCTCAGTATCACGCAACCCCGCTTTCACTCTGTCCTTCTCCACCTGCTCTCTCCATCCCAATCGCGGACGACCCCTTCCTACCACTCCTTCAACCTCGAACTCCTATACACAACACCGAGTTAGCCTTCACTCTCCTGTCACATACCCCACAGGGGTCTATTTTACTTATCACTCGCTCCCCACCTTCCCCACTCACCATTACCTTCGTCTTACCAATATTAACTTTTAACCCTTTCTTTTCAATAACACTTTTCCATCTGTCAAATTTTAACTGCAATTCTTCCATGCTATCAGCCATCAAGACTAAATCATCTGCATACAAAATCTCAAATAACAATCCCTCCATTATGTTTCCACACACAACATCCATCACAATTGCAAACAGAAACGGTGATAACACTGATCCTTGATGCACTCCTACCTTAACACTAAAAGCGTCCGACATCCCCCTTCCAACCCTCACCTTTGTCTTTGCCCCTTCATACAGCTGCATCACAGCTTTAACAAGTCTCTCATTCACTCCTTTCTTCCTCAACGCCCATTCAATGACCTTCCTCGGTACTCGATCAAAAGCCTTTTCTAGATCCACAAAACACATGTACAATCTTCGTTTCTTCTTTCTATAATTCTCCTGCAACATTCTCACCATGAACAACGCATCCACCGTTCCCCTACCAGGCATAAACCCACACTGCATTTCATTAACTGTCACCATACTTCTCAACCTCCTCTCAAGCACCCTCTCCACTATCTCAT